ACAGTCTCTCAGCAAAAGAGCACAAGTTTAATTGACCTCAACTGGCCAACTGTCGTGCTGGAGGACTTTGTCTTTTGCCGTGGGTCAATAAAGGTTATACAAAAATTACATGCTCTTATACTGGCGGAGGAGAAAATTGCAGCATATACTGTACGTTACCTATGCTGCCACAGTCTCACTGTAAAATAGATTTTGTCAGTGAACCCGCTGACCTGTGCTAACACCCATAATTCCCTGTGTCACTTCAAACTCAGGATTTTCAACATTTACAGCTGTCCAGCGAGGGTGAGGCAATGGGGCAAAGAGTATGCCGCTCTGTAAATGCTTCCATTGAGCTTTTTCGTCCTGCAGGACCATTGTGCCAGCGTGAATGTACTCGTCTGTGTCGGCTGTGTCAAGTCATAATTGGGCGACCGTGCAGGAGTAGCAAGAAAACCATTCAGTGAACTTGAGCTCAGAGGGCAAAGCAATACAGCTGTCCATTACAGCGGTGACAGAGCAGCATGATTAATTCTGACCAGTACAACCGACTGACTTCATATTACACGAAGCATGTTTGTAGTTCTGGTAAGACAAATAACAGGATGCAAGTTTTTCACCCCGCGGATGCATTTATTCATCAGTAACAGGAAAATAAATACAATATATTGGTTGTATAACGATATAATAGAGAAGCTTTATATAAGAAATTGCGTGTTTTGGGTTTTTTTTGTTGCTTAAATGACGTGACAAAGGCACTAGCCAAACTCGAACCCATAATGTTGCAGTTAAACATTACAACGAAAGCTCCAGGGTCAGAAAAGGTTGCGGAAGACTGAAAACCTATTTAGAATATCAGTTTTAATGCGCTGCTTGCAGTGACAGTGACCGCTGACTTCACCCAAGACTTGACATTTAAATCACAATAAGTAGCATTACTCAGGGTTCACTGAAAAGGTGATCATTTGAATCAATAAGAAGTAAAGAGATAATTACATATATGTGACTTTTGGTAGATGAAGTAAAGGCTTCATTTTGATCTTAAAAGTAAATTACGTGAGTTATAATGAAGAAATTGTAATTCTAGTATTCACAGTCGATTTGTCAGTGGGTATCAGGCACTCCTCCTTGATTACATGGACTCCAACTGAAAAGTAAGTTGTGATTGGGAATGTCAGGTTGCCATTTTCTTATGATTGGCTGATGAAAGGTATAATTTGGGACTGCCAAGACAGCAACTTCAAAAGCTTCCAGTGCCATATTAGGGTGGAATGTGAAAGCTGTCCAGGCAAAAAATGATCCAATTTTCTACTGGCTTTAATTACAAAGAGGATCCCCTTTCATTGGTGGGGCAATTGCTGTCCATTTCTGAAGACCGTTGTGGAAAATCATCAAGTCAAGCATATCCAGAATGCTTAAATCTGCACTGCTTTTGTGCGGCCATGGCATGATTATGTCATATTTGAAATTCACATATCCACAACTTTTACAAAATGACTTCTAAACTGATGGAAACCAAAAACCAAATGACTTTTTCTGCCAAGAGTAAACAAAACTAGACACAGTGATAGCATTGATGGCCACAGTCCTGTCGATCCGTGGCGGAAAAGTAGTTTCTTTAATAACTATTTAGTTTGTTCTCGTGGTGTCAGGTAAGACAAAATCAAATAAGTGGGTAAAGAGTAATTAGCTTTGTAACCATGTCTCTTAGAAAGCTTCATTTTCTTGGCTGTCACCACGCCAGCAAAATAAAAGCATAAATTGTGGTTAATTCCCGGAGCGGAGAATTGTGCCTGAAGCCTGTTGGTAATGGGCAGTGCCTTTTCTTATTCTAAATAAAGTTAAGCGTTTGTAACAGCGACTGCATTATGGAAAATCCAATTTGTGATTGCAACATCTGTACTTAACCTATGGGTAGCTCTTTGTTGGTCAAAGCACTAAGCTGCACGTCTTTTCCATGATTAGTTTTCCAAGAAACGTACATGTACATGACCTTGCATGCAAAAACTGTATCCATTATTGTTACAATGGTAAAAAAGAATTAGCATCTAAATATTCTCAGACATGCAAATCCATGTACAGCGTACAGAACACAGAAACACTGTTTATTTTACTCTAACACACACAGGCACATACAAGTACAAACAGTAACAAGTACACAGAGAATTGTTTGTTTATTTTCCTCATCGTCATTTGTTTGACAACAAATAGACATAATACATCAGTTGTTTCTTTAATTGACATGAGGCAAAGAAAGAAACTCAGATGATTAGCACCTTAGTCAAGCAATCTGTCCTGGCACCAATTTTCCACTGAGCTCTTGAAAGGCTTCCACCTTTTGTGTTGCTGACACATTACATAAAATAAGCAAACTAAATGAGTCGATTCAACACCTAATGTTTCCATCTTTGCCTCCACCTGTCAGATCCTGTCAGGCCATATGTCAAGAGGAGAAGGACACAAAGAAAGGAGACTATCCTCACACATTCTGGGATGTGTCCAGAGGCTTATTTGTAAGCCTGCAGGGTGTGGCAGGTAAGCTTCCACCTCAAAGGCAGCAGCTCCCTCCCAAGTAATTGCTCTTCATCAGATCAAGCTGCATGACATTCCTGCAGACTGTTTCAAGTGACTACAGCCAAAAGACAGAGTCTACTGCCCTCAAAGGGGACTATCTCCTAACTGGATCAGTAGCGGCTGATGGGACATCGTTGTGTCATTAGCTCAGGTTTCAGACTACACCCTGCTAATAAACAATGCAAAGTGGAAAAAAACAGCCCACTGAGGGTCTCAGCTGAACATAATCCAACAGGAAAAAAATCAACCCATGATGCAGCAATATGCATGAAAAGCTGTTGTACAAAATAGTGCTATTCACCCCAATAAATGATCCTCTTATCAGAGCTATGACCATTCTAGCAAGTCAGAGGAAGGATGCATCCTCAGGCAAAGCAGAGATAAGGGCCTTTGATATAATTAAGCCAACGTCAAACAGCCAGTAGATGAGTCTTGTGAAGATAAAGCAGCCAGGACTGACAGCTCTGATAATAGTCCAAACAAAGAGAAAGTGGAGATTAAGGGGTTCCTTTTCAGGGAGTTAAGTGGACTGCCCAGAGGACACTCCAAAACATGGCTCATCTGTCAGGAACGGGGGGAATGGATACCATCACCGACGCTTCTTCCAGGCAGAGATAGTATCTAGGAATGCCTATAAAGAATGTATAGTCTCTTGTACCATAGTTGAGGTTTTTGTTTATCATCAGTTGTATGCTTTATCAGAATGTTTACATGTTTTACATTGAGCTGATATTTCCGAGTGAAATGATTAATTAAATTTCACTGAAAGAAAATATCAAGAAAATTTCAACTTCCTAGCAAGCAAAACTAGAGAGAAGAGGTCAAAGGACAAGCAATGCTCATATGTCGAATGAAGTAGAAGTATCAGAAATAATCTTTAACAGCAGCCAGAAGCACCTGAACCAAAGGACACAACTCTAGCTCTGCAGATGTCAGGGTTTAGGTGGAAGCACAGCTAAAAATAGAAGTTGTGATTTGATTAAAAAAAAAAAAAAAAAAAACATCCACGTTTGTCGGTAAAGGGGAAATTTAACAGCCAAATAATAGTAATGGATAAATGTTTGAAATAGTCAAGGTGATGAATAAACGTTAATAATAGGCTAAAAATAATGGATAATTTTTGATAGTTTTGCCAAAAGTAATGAATAAACAGTCAAAAAAAAGCTAACGGATCAATAGAAATAGTTGTCTAACAATAATGGGTAATCATTATAGTGTAATACTGTCCAAGGTCCTATAATTTATAGTGTTAAACAATATGTAGTCTGAATTCATAGGAAAATAATTCAGTGGTGAAGGTAAATGGGTAGGAACTCACCTGAAAGCTACAGTGAGTCAGATGAAGGAACATACTGTGGTTCTGTAAAACATACTCACATAAAATCAATTGTTAAAGCGTCACACCATCATCAAGCTTTGTATTCAAACCCTTTACATGCTTGCAAAAAGCTCAATTTGTGCGTTTTATACTGTGGTAAGATAAAAGTCAGGACACTTTAACGTTTGGTTAGATTGCTTGAAACACATTGGGTATCATAAAGCCAATCATGCTTTAGTTTTTGTCCATAACCTTGGTTCTTGAAAAGCTGCTCTCTTTTCACAGTCAAAACTAAAATGGTGCATGAAAAAAGACAAGCCGCTAATGCTGAGACGGCAGAAAAGGAGAGACTGTCACAGCACTCAGCTGTAACACAGTCTGGCACAACACTAACAAAGGAAATGAGCAAACCACACAGCAAATAACAGACTTTTATTCAACACTCTGGGCCCCACTGCTTATATCTGGGTGCCAACCCCAGTCACTTACAAATAAACAGATTTATGAGAAATATTATGCACAAATTGCTACATTTGTCTAGACAGGGCATTATTGTAGCTTTACTTACATTGGCATGATCAAGTTTGATTTTTTAGAATATGTTTATTGGTATATGTCAGACATTTACAGCTTCCAAATTTGCACTTAAGAATGAATGGGATGAATCAGCAAATAAACTACATTTCTCACAGTATTCAAATATACACATAAACTGTACTCTCCTGCAAAAAAAACACAAATCATACTTCCTGCAAAGAATTAGTCGATTTCAAAAACATTTTGAACGTTGTAACTAAAATTCCACAGTTATAGTAGATAGTAGTTGCATGAACTTATAGGGATGTGTCACCTTAGTTAATGCACTCCTACTATAGTACAATAATGAAAAAATGAAGAAGACCTTGAAGGATGATTAAGTTAAATTGTATGTCAACAATAGCTTGGTAGTGTGGCATAAACTATCTTCAAAATGGAATTACTGTTAGGAGTTGTGGACTACAACAAATGATTTACACAAGATCAGAAACTCATCCAAGATATGTTGATAACGGGGAAGACAAACAGAAATGCAATATTTTTCAGTACAGTTTTCACTTAAATGCATTACAGTAATGTTGTTATGTATCGGTCTGAGACTCTGATTTGGCAAATAAAAATGTGAGGTGACAAAATCATGATTTACTTCTACAAGCAAAAAACTGCATCGTTAGGGGAAAAAAAAGCAGAAACCTATCTTAAGATGTCTCTCACGCTACAATATTTACACTGAAATTACATTTAGTCTAAACAGACAACACAGTACACCAGCCTGGATCACTTTTTAACAAGTCAAATCAATGATAAATCTGTAAGAGGAAATAGAGCACTACAAAAAGAAAAAAACAAGAACACATTTGTATGTCTGTAATCAAGTAGAACAACAAACAAAAATTCTGGCATTAACAATGTAATTCGACTAGTTTTGGTTATCACTCATGCACAGTCATCATTTCCCGTGCTGTACAGCAGTAATAAAACAGTCTGTGGTCTTTGTAGACGTATATATAGATGTCTGGAACAGACAAAATTGCTGTTTGACATAACCAGTGGTGCGCACCAGGAATAAAATACTTTTTCACAAAAAGCTGACAACTTAAGCTAAGCACAAAAAGCATTTCTCATTCACACAATACTATAAGCTAGACGTTGTCTTGCTGCATCATGGTCCAGCACAGAAATGGCACAGTCTCCAAATGCCAGGCTCCAAAAAAGCACTGGAAACCATCCAACATGTCCCATAGACCATAAATCCTCAGCCCAACATTAGGCACATTGGTTGCTTTCATGGCCAGCAGCATACTCCAAAATAAATTCAATTTGTACATTTGCAGATGCACTCGCATTTGAATGTTACTAGCTGACCAGGTCACCAGATATTTTCTTACTGGAATGATGAGGACAGCGGTGGCACTGCCGCCTCATTAGTGTGACGGAACAAACCTGATGTTTGTTACTTGAAGCAGAATATGGAAAGAGTTTTCAGTCACACTAAGTGTTTTTTATTGTTCCATCACACTGTGCTTTACAGAAAGCAGTACACATTTGAACTGTAAAACAGACAAATTATACCACTTAAAGCTTTGTTGGTCACATTTAGGTACAAATCACACACAGGTGCAAACACTATTTCAGTCCTTTTCAGGTGATTCTTCCATTTGCTTTTTCATCAGCTTTATTTTAAGTGTGTAATATTCCTGTTGGAGCTTCAGGACTTCCTCTTGTCTTCTCAGCACAGACATTTCCAAATCCATCCTCTCCTGCAGATTTGTGCAGTGTGCTGATGGTGGACAGGTGGAGCAAGATGTACCCAGATGTTCTCCAGAGTCAGTCAAGACAACAGCATGAGGACTACCAAGCTGCACTGTGAATGATTTAGCAACGTTGGAAAAAGTCATTTTTTGTGCTGCTGAAGAGATGGATGGATCTGGATTCGTAGGGAACTCGTGTTCAGCCAGTGGACGCTTGTTTGAGAATTTTTCATTTATCGTGTGAGCAATTCCATCTTTATCAGAGCTGGAGGGGAAAAAAATTTGTCCGTAAATAATCGTGTAAAACAATGGCTACACCTCTTTCTACAAACAAGATTTCTGTCTCCCTTAATAATCCACTGTGTTTTTATATTCCTGCTAATCAAGCCAACAAATAAAACACGTACTACCTGTGTTGCTTGGTTTCCATCAGCTCTGAGACTGAAGAGTCATCTCCGTCTTTTTGCAGCATGTCTGACAGGTTCATGACAGAAATAACTATTTGGGTCACAGCGCTGAACTGTTCAGTGGACAGAACGTCATCTGTGAATGAAAAATTATTCCATGTATTAATTAACAATAAATACAGTAAATTTCACAGAAAACAGAAATAATGTGGAATAGCTAATATCATCCTCTTCGTTTAAATTTTGGATATTTTTTCTGACAGCATCCCCCCGTTCAAGGCCTTGACTTATTTTACTAGTCGTAGATTATAGATGATTCTAGGCCTGGATGATAAAACAATAGCCATATTACCAACTGTTTGATAGAATGTTCAGTATTTGATGATTATAAAAGCACAAATTTTGGCTGCATGAACAAACCCCAAGCAAGCTCCCTGCCCAGGTCATGAGCAGACAATCATATCCCTTAATAATGGAGACCCTTGGCATCCAACCGTCTCCTTGTGGCTTCCATGCAGGTTTCCAGGTGAGCGCTAGTCCGTGACTGCCCTTGTGAGACAGACTTTGTACTCATAAAACACCCACAAACACCCCAGGATATCCACCTAAGTGACAAACTCCCACCGGCCTGCTCAGATAGTTGACGGACTTAACGTGGAGGTGAACAAGGCAGCCAGTGCAGGTCCCTGTCTGGTGACACCTGCTCCCTGCCAGCCACGGAAACGTAACCTCAGGGCAGAATGTGTAATGTGTATCAAGATGACATTATTTCTTTATATTGATGTGTACATTTTTTTCTGTGTTTTTAATTTTTTGCTTTCAAATTTAAGGCTTTTCCTGTTGATCTTTATTCAAAGTAGGCCATTCAAAATTAGCAATAGTCATCGATATTGACTAAAACAAACTATTATTGTGATAAATGTTTTTGATAAATAGCAAAATTTCAGATTTGCCTCACCTTTATCGGCTTGCCTCTTCTGTCGTTTGATCTCCTCTTTGGCCTTTGCCAGCAGATTTTCCCATTTCTTGTTACAGTCAGAAACTGTGCGTTGAACCTGTGGAAAGGCAACGTTGATGGTTTGAGCTATCTCTTCCCAGGCGTGTCTCTTGTCTTGGATTGAAACTCCAGTGCTGTACTTCCCTCTGACTACGTTTTTTCTCTCCTGCATTAACTGAGCAAGTAGAAGAGACTCCTGATCTGTCCAGTTGGGTCTCCGCTTCTTGCTGGGCATCTCTTCAAGAACTTGTAAGGGCATTTGTCTGAAAGAGAGAGACAGAGAGAGACTGATTGCTTGTGTGTACACCTAGTCCACCAACACACGCCTGAAACCGAGTAGAAATTGCATCATGAATAATTTCAATAATACTACTCAACGTGATCATCAAACTCACAGGTGAAGGCTTCCACTTAAGACTTAAGTTATTATATTTAAGAGATTTTCTCCAACGTTATGATTTTCGCTACATGAGCTGAATAAAAGTCGACAGGAATTAAATATCAGATAGGACGGTTGCAGGATGTAAATACAACGAGGTACAATGTACGCTATGATAGATAAATAGTCATAAAACCTTTAAGGTGAAACGTAAGGCTTTCTTCTCCGTCTCAGGGAAAATCCACAGCGTCGCAGGACAGTGACGTCCTCACGTGGTGACGTGTCGGTTTGTTTACAGCGGTGCTTGCGCTGCTGCAGCTCAGACATGGCTGTGGATATAACTTTACTTTTCAAAGCCAGCGTCAAGACAGTCAAAACCAGGAACAAGGCCATAGGAATCGGCTTTGACTCTACAAAAGATGAAATTTTTAAACGAAGCAGACCAAAGAGCGGCTTCTCGCCGAAAGCGAAAGAAGTGGTGAGTGTTTAGCTAAGCTAGCTGTAGCTAACTGTGCTAGTACAGTGACAAATCTGCTTTCCCCTTAAAGGCAGTTTAATAACGGAGCCATTTTAATAAAGCTGCAGCTTTTCCTGCATTTTACAAACAGCATTAGTGCCTATAAAAAGTGTACAGCATAATGGACATGCTTAGCAAACTGAAAGTCCTTATTACTGCTATTCACTGTCAGTAAGGCCTCTTGTAGCAATGTGCACACTACTTAAAACTTAAATTGAATTTAGCAGTGGGGGTTATGAATAAAAACAAAAAAAAAACTTTTTCACAATATATGTCATGTTTTACCATGATAGGTATTGAGGGTTTCTTGTAAATCAGTCAATATACTGTTGAGATAATTTCAAACAATCCTGTAAATGACAGGTAATCATCCTCTGTATTGCTGACCTCGTTAAGATCTTATTCATGTTTAGAAAATAAGTTTGCAGATTTATACGGGATAAATATAAACTTTATGTTCTGACTTAATGTTAGGCTGGCAGATATAGCTGAAAAAATTATTACAATTCTACATTTTACAAATAAATATTTGACATTACAGTCAATATTAACAGCTATTTGTAATTAGAATTGTTGACCAATTATTGAAAATATTTAACTTCAAGTCAACCATCTTACTTTGAATTAAGCAGTCTATCCTATTAATTAGGACACACGGGGGAGACATTTAGTGGTAACACAATAATGAAGACCACACACAAATAAATAATGGTACTCATATTAAATTAAATTAAACAAAAATCAAGGATTCATCTCACCTTGATACACATTAAATAAAGACACCAAGTAAAACCTGGAGGCACATGGAGGGTGACCACACGGGGCTAAGATTAAGGTTCTAAATGGCTGGCCAACACTGTGTGTCATTGGTTTCATTATAAAGGCATATGATAGGATGTTTTTCATCCAGGGACAGAGCATGCTTAGGATTTGGTCACAGAACCAAAGTTTGTGGTTTTGTTATGTGCTTTCATGGCAGTTTTCATGAAACTGTCGACCATTCTATCAAACAATTTTCTTATTGCTATTGACAAGAATATCCTCCAGTGTAGTGTCATTTGTCATTTTATTGGACAGGTCTGCTTTATATACTTTGATAATCATCAGACCATGCTTATAAACAGGAAACAATGTGTTTGATATTTACAACTCTCAAAAAGGTTATCACCACATTTCCTGAATTCAAAATAAGTGCTGCTGTGCCATTTTCTGGACAGACAGCCTTGTTTTGTGTGTCATTCACATCATCATTCATCTTAAGTTGGAACATTTTGCATGCTTTTAATATGTTTGTATCATAGTTGCCATTTGATTTTAGCAGTCAATCTAATTTCGCCACTTATAGCCTATATTTATACATCTCTATAGAGTGCATGCAGGTGTAGAGCAACAGTTTGGATGTGATGGCTGCTTGACAGGTAGTACGAATGAACTTTAGTCACTACTTCACACTTGTTTGGATGTCCAACGACAGAAAAAACGAAAATCAAAATGGCTTTATTGTGGATTTGGCTTTATTAAAATCCAGTATATGTGAACACAGGTAGTGTAACGCAGGCAAACAGATGTAAATAGCTGACACCAAGTGACACTTTGCAGAATGCAAATACTCGGCCGTCACTCAAAAACTCTTTAGCCAATAGGAGGCACCCCAGAGAAAACCCATATGTGAGAGGTTTGTGTCAAAACTGCAAACAAGATGTCAGCCAGTGCAAACAAGTTAGTTGGCAGCA